AATAAGGTTGCAGCCTTAAACAATCCAATTAGGGCGCACCTCCAAATTTTATTATAACATTTAATTTTGGTGTAAAAAATTCTTAGTTTTATCTAAAAATATATTTTCATATCTAATTATAAAATTTTAAACACCAAAAATGGTTAAAATCATGTAGATATATAAACATGTGAAAATCTTGAAAATGGACGGTCTAGATAATGTGTTGCAAGATAAACTATTTTTACAACTCAAATATGTTTTTTTATACATTCATATATCACAATGTTGAGATGTTGAATCAGAGGGTCTTTGAACATTAAAACATCATTTTCCGATAGAATTTTTAGAGGCATATGTAATTATACATTTTAAGGTTGCAACCTTATATAAATTTTTTCCATATATATATATATAGGAAAAAGCTCTTGACAGCCCATGGGCTCAAGGAACAGTGTAAGCCCAATGGCCCAGATTGAATCTGGACGGATCCAATGATCACAATTGTATTTCGTAATTGAATTTTAACCTTTTCTCTACAAATCCAAATGATTTCATGTTAAACACATATTGTTGTTTTATGCAATTAGATTAAAGGTGGCATAGGCAGGGCCAGGCTGAGTTGGGGCATTGGACCCAAAAAAGCCAACCCTAAGAGGTCATGGCCGACTTCGGCCCTTCTTTCGAGGTGCCCAGGCCCGGATCCCTTAATGGGTTCGGACCAGGTTGGGGCATGCCCAGGCCTGTGGACAGCAGACCTAGAATTTGAGATCTAAACATGGATGTTTTGGGCTAGGCTGCCTTGCCCATTACAACCTATGTCTTAACTTACAGAAAAAATAAAGTGAAATCTCCCTATCTGAAAATATTTGACAACATGAGTGCTAGTTAAAATTCATGCTAAATAAAATTGAAAAACCCCACTGGTAAGTATCACACTGGGGTGATGCTTGAATGTAATTCTTTAACTTTTGTGGAATGTAAAAGCTTTAAGAGTTATTTGTACCTATCAAGATAGTAGCTAGGATCAAAAGTTGTGCTATCGTTTATTCTATCCTTTATTTCTCTTGCAAAGCTTTGGGAGAGCATTTTAGAGACAACATCCTCAATATCCACAAAGTCTGGGTCACCCAGGTTCATTCTTGCTGAAAACATGTGCTTCATTGCTTCAACCATTCGGTGGAGTCCAAGGGAACCGGTAAGGGCTTGAGCACTTCTATATTGAGCAAGTACATTCAAAACCTATAACACAGATTAGACTTTTTAATCACCTTCTCATGAACTTGGCAAAAAGTAAACAGACACAGGAAAATTGAAATATATTTATTTGAAGTGGGAAGATTTGCATATGAGTCTCTCTTGGAAATCACAAGGATGCACTTATATGTATCCAAATCTCAGTTGTATGATTTGAATGGACAGCTATGATAATTTGTCATATGCAACACTATTTGTTTTTTTTTGTTTTTAATCTTTATACGTTATCTTAACATGAAATTGGGGCATCCCTATTCTCATAGTGGGATAGGCAAAATATATAAAAACTGTTTTTTATAGAATAAAAAGACCAAAATACTTTTAGGTGTATTTTGGTAATTTGTATATGTATTTTGGTCATCTTATTTTGTAAAGGGAAAGCATATTATGATATCATTTACCTTTGATACAAGGTGGTCACCTTAATCTTGACCATTGGATGGCTACATTTATTCTATTGACCAAACTCAAAATTCAAAAACAAATTTTTCGAACTTTGTAACACATCCAAGCTATCAAATTTCAAATCAAATGATTGTAAATAATTGTGACCACCTTGCATCAAAGATGGTTTCATTGTGTACAATCCTTTTTGTAATAACCATTTTCTTTTGTATTTTTTAGGTGAGCCCCTCTAATAATAGGCCTATGCCTGTCAAAATGATGTAGAAAAAATAATTATAGTTAAAATACTCTTAACTGTCCAATCGAGATTAAACAATCAGAGACCAACTAGTTATATTATGGCTGAAGGGTTTGATGGTCCATTTTGATTGGACGAATGTGAGAGAGGGACCCATATAATTCATATGAAGGATATAGTAGGGTTTCCATTTTAATGAAACCCCTAGTTAGAGATGGATAAATTGAACATATGAGTGAGAGTGTGGGTGCGAGAGAGTTTGTCATGATGAATTGAGAAGAAATACGCACCATTATCATCCCAAGACCTCCAGCAGGCACAGGCATGGTAATAATCTCGTGATTCATGACCTTTGCAGAAATTGGCTTCGTGTGTCTAATCTTATAACCTTTTAAGTCTTCCACTGTGATTATCCCTCCTTTCTCTTGGATATCATGAATCAAATCGGCCCCTAGGGGACCGTAATAAAACACTGACGCCCCGAAAAATGCAATCTTCTCCAATGTATTTGCAAGTTTAATATCACGACATATATCTCCAACCTTCAACAGTGTCCCATTCACCATGAACACCTCTCTTAAACCCTCGTCTTTGCGTATTGCCTCCTCTGTATTTTTCATTTGAAAATATAGAAAACGATCTATCTCGTATCCGTATCTTGCTATTGCAATTGCAGGTTTCACAAGTCTATACCACGGGAGCCTGCCATAAGCCTGCCAAGCCTCATAGAGACCTAAAATTTCACCTGGAACTCCAACAGAGAGTCCACCCTGTTCTTTTGCAGAGGGATCATGTGCAAACATATCCTATAAATGTAATTCATGCCATTAGTATGGGATTTGAGTATTTGTTTTTACAATAATTGCAAGAGAAATAGTTAATCAATACACAAGATTTAGCTTGTGTGGCACTATTTTATTTAGCTCTATGGGTCTTTCTGTCTCTTATTAGGCAGTGATCTCACGCAACGGTTGTATCATAGTATAATACAATCACATTTTTAAAAAACCGT